GTGAGAATGGAAATCAACGCATTTAATACCAATGTAAGGAAATACAGTTTTATACGGCCAGTTATTAACATGTGGAACTCACTGCCACAAGGGGTCCCGGAGGCTGAGAACTTTCAAAATCATGCTAGATGGGGTAAAACAATGGGATCAAACCCACATGCTTCAGGGCATCACCCTTGCATTGGGTCTGCCCTGCACTGGCCCTCTGAGGGTTAAAACCCAGTCCTGGGAGAGTGCTGGAGCAACAGCTGTGGCAGACATTAGCCAATTAGGGCCCAGCTGGGGGCAGTATAAATAAAGGCTCCTGGAGGGGAGGAGAGACTTACACTCTTGCTCCAGCCCTGGAGCAGGAGGGTCCTGGCTGCAGGGAAGCTAGAGGCTTCCTGACTTAGAGCATAGCTAGGGGAGCTCTCAAGCTGCAAGACCTGAGGCTACTAGGACTGCGGGGCAGGCCCCCACCCCTGCCAATGCTGAGAGGCCATGGCTGACTGCAGTTTGCCCCCGAGGCAGGGGCTACTATTCTAGGAGGGGTGGGTGAGATTTTGTGGCCTGCACTGTGCAGGGGGTCAGACTAGATGATCAGAATGGTCCCTTCTGACCTTGGAGTCTATGAGTCTATAAGACGGTCAGTGAGGCAAGGTGGGCAGAGCAGGCTGGGGGTTCCCAGAGGGGGAGGACCCCACAGAGTGGGGGCCCTGCAGCAGGGCAGGAAGGATGAGAGTCCTAACACAGAGGTGGAAGAAAACTAAGTAACAGGGATGAGACACCAGCTGCAAGAGGGTTCTCCAGGGCTGAGATGAGCGAATTCCTGAGTGACCAGCAGGTGGCGGTGTGGCCATGAGCCTCATGCCGTTAGTTGCCTACGGCCATTCTTGCGCCACCCTCAGACGCTCGTCTGGGCTGCTGTTGGAGAAAGACCGTGGGTCTGACCCATGACCTATGTCTAGACAGCATTCCTCTGTCAGCAGAGGGATGCAGATTAGGCAGGTCGACATTGCAAATGAGGCAGGGATTTAAATATCTTGTGCCTAATTTGCATAAAATGGCCACTGCATTTTGCCGACTCAGCACTTTGTCAGAAAAAAAAGGGGATCTGTCGAGAAAGAAAGCCTTTTTTGACAGATCCCTTATGCCTCCTGCGAGGAGGTTTACAGGATCTGTCAAAAAAGGCTTTCTTTCTCGACAGATCCCCCTCTAGACTGCTGCTTTTTGCTGACAACATGCTGAGTTGGCAAAACGTGGTGGCCATTTTTATGCAAATTAGACATGGGATATTTAAATCCCTGCCTCATTTGCAATGTCGACCTGCTTAATCTGCATCCCTCTGCCGACAGAGGGATGCAGTCTAGAGCTACCCCCAGTGTCATTACCGCGTTCCTCAATGTGACGTGCGGATGCACGGGTGTGCGTGGAGGAGTAGATAGTCCCATGCACCCAGGGCCGCTCTCCTGTCTCTGCCCTCGCAATCCCTGTGCAGTCAGGGAGTTGCACAGGGTATAAATGATGGGGAGGTCCCATTGTAGTTCTCTTCACTTTCCCATTCAAGCTCCTTTCCTCCCCCCCAACCACATTCTGCAGCCCTCACCTCTCTGCAGCTTGTATCTCTCTGCAGAGCTGCCATACGTAGATCCTGGATTTACAGCCAGGAGGAGGGGAAGGTCTCACCAGATGTCCTGTAGCGATTCCGGGTTCCCTGGCTTGTAGGGGTAGTGAATGCTCGAGGCTCATGAGGTTACACCCTGTGGGCTTGTGATTCTCCCTCTGCGGAGCCAGGGGGTACTATCGGCCAACCTGCTACGTGGGGTATACATCTGTGCAGCGACTGTAGGGGCCAATATGCTACCAGGCCCTACAAGTTCCGTGCAGGACTTAAAAGGCCAGCCACAACCTGGTTCCAACCGCAGTGTCGGCTGGAAGAGGTGCCCCCATGCGGTGAATTGCATCCAGTCCCCCTCGGCAGAGCCAGCTGCCAGCCCACCCCCACCTCGCCTGCTGAGGAAGCTCTGCTGTCCCCAGGCAGCCCCCTCATGGTGCCATTTATATTTAAAGGCCGCGTTTAAAATAAACGTGCTGCCAAAAGCGATCTGAGGGAACAGGCCAGGCAGGCCTGATTTGTTCGGAGCGATGCCTTGTCGAGCGCTACTCTGTGGGCCTCTGGGAAGGGGATTGATTTGGGCTCTGCAGACACGGGGGTGCAGAGGACGCGGGGCTGGAAACGCCAGCCCTGCTAGCCACAAGGGGAGAAAAGTTACTTCCTGAACTTGGCAAACCGGTGGCTGGAAGGGACCAAACCGGACAGGCTCAGAGCCTGGTACAAATGGGACTGCCAAGCAGCCCCACAATCTGGATGTGGAGGGCCCTCTGGAGAAGAGCGGGGATGAGGTTCTGCAAGGTGAAGAGCCCCTTCCTTGGGCAAGGGCCGTAGTTACCCTGGGGCCAGCATGAGCCTGTGTTTGTGGCGTGGGGCTGCGAGGTGCCCCGCCCTGCTCGGGGGTGGCGGCGAGCGTGAGAAATGCAACAGAGTTAGCACAATGCGGGCCGGGGCGCCTGCTTCCCAGTGAGCTTTTAAGCTTCTTCGCCACCTCAAACGCCCCCAGCCGGACAGCGGGACAAGTGGTCGCATCTCGCTTCCCTCCCTGCAGCAACGTGAGCGCTGCCTTGGGCCTCTGAGCGGTGCCCCGCCCTGCTCGGGGGTGGCGGCGAGCGTGAGAAATGCAACAGAGTTAGCACAATGCGGGCCGGGGCGCCTGCTTCCCAGTGAGCTTTTAAGCTTCTTCGCCACCTCAAACGCCCCCAGCCGGACAGCGGGACAAGTGGTCGCATCTCGCTTCCCTCCCTGCAGCAACGTGAGCGCTGCCTTGGGCCTCTGAGCGGTCTTCACTATGGATTCAGCGGGACTCGCCCTGCAGTCGGCTGGCTGGCCCAGCCGCTGCCCTGGGCCCTCTC